TTCTCCTTGAAGGTTCCTTTTCTTCTTTTTGTCTGGAAGAGCTCTTTGCTCTACTGCTACTTCCTTTTTAGAACCTTATGTTTACTCTTGTCACAGCACTCGGTTTGCTAGATCTGTCTAGATCACATGTGTATTTGGTTGTCCGAGCAGAGGCTATGAATTCCATCAGAAGGAAAGCTAAATCTTACCTATCCACATTTCCCTTGTACTTGTTACAGTATGTAACACATAGGTGTTTGAAAACATTCGTGAAAAAAAGAACAGTGATATTCACTGATGGTGGGTCTCAGCATCTTCGGACACTATCAAAATTACTTGACTTTTGGTTGGGCATGGATCTTTTATTTGTTGGATAAGTTAGATAATATTGGTCTGGGACATGGGGACCACAATATGTGAGCCCGTTAAGCGTAGATACCAAGAACAGAAAGGCAGTGTGGGACAACAAAACTGAAGATGCCATGAAGGCACCGTGATGAACAGAATTACCTATAAAAAAAAGAGTCCTATGCAGGACTGTCACATAAAGGGGAATGAGAAACAGTGGATGTCATTGCAAATGTCTGTGCCCCCCATGCACACTATCAGGTATGTTTGAGTAGCAAAAGGATTAATATACTAAGTGCTTAGCATAACGCTTGAAGCCAGCGGTTGTACTGCGAGATGTATTAGGAGGCTAATTCTAGATAGTTCATAATAGTGTCAATAGCTCTTCTAGGGAATTAGAATGATGGGAGATGGTTGCATTTGTGCCTGTGTGAAAGAATGGAATCTTCTCTACTGACTAAGTAACTTTCCAATGTGTCAAGGTCAGACCCTACCTATACCTATCACTGTATAATTGAATAGGAGGCTAATTCTAGATAGTTCATAATAGTGTCAATAGCTCTTCTAGGGAATTAGAATGATGGGAGATGGTTGCATTTGTGCCTGTGTGAAAGAATGGAATCTTCTCTACTGACTAAGTAACTTTCCAATGTGTCAAGGTCAGACCCTACCTATACCTATCACTGTATAATTGAATAAGGAAACACAATAAGGTAGATAGAGAGGAACCTGCTAAAAGAAAAGTTCTGGGTTTCATATGGGGAACTTTGAATAAAATTATTATTACTTGAGGATAGGATCCTAAGCTTCTCACATCATCTAGAAGTCTTAGTATTTGCTCATCAGAGCCTGAAAAAAATATGCAGACATTACATAGATTCCATGTCAGACACTGTATGATAACTTCTACAGTGTTGGTTACTATGGTTCCCCTTCAGTGATACTTGCTTTGGGAGTCTTAGTGGCTGTCACTGAAATGGGTCATTATGAAGTTTGAGAAACAATGGGGTGAGTCTGCATAGTACCTATATGGATGATGTAAATTGATATTCAACTCATTGGGAAAAAAGTTTTCATTTTTGGTGACATATATAGTGGAATGGGGATACAGTGTGTCATTTCAGTGCATGAATAATATATGTAATGATCAGGTCAGGATTACTGGAATTTCCATCACTTTTGGCATTTATCTTTGTTGTTGGAAACATTGAATACTCCAACACAAGCTATTTTGAAATAAGCAAAAAGAATCGTTGATGAATATGGTTATACTACTGTGATATACAGCATTAGCAGTTCCTGTGCATTATGCCTGCTGGCACCTACAATCCACTCAAGCTCTAGTAACTGCTCTTCTACTGTACATCAGACCAATAGTGTGGCTTCTATGTACAAGTGAGGATATGTGGTGTTTCTATTTCTGTCCCTAGATTAGCTCAGCTCCTGTTCTCTTGGTTCATCCTTGGTGCTGAGTAATATTCCATTTTATATCAGTGATACCACTGTATTTTTTACACAGTCACCTATGGTAGGCATTAGATGGTTTCATCACTTGACTGTTTTTGAATAGTGCCACAGTAAGCATACAAGTGTTCCTCCAGCCTACCTGTTCCATTCTTGACTCCTCTGAGCAGGTGCAACAGAAAAAGAGGCAGGTACCACCAACTAGCATTAAATGAGGGGGTGAATCGGGAAAGGACGTATGGCAGATATCAAACTTACATTAGGAGTAGTGAACTACCACAGTTGGAAGAACTGTGATTGGCTGATGTGTTGGCTAATTTATGAAATGCAGTAATTCAGTCTTTAAGTGGAGGAACAAGACTTGCAGTTGGGATGTGTGTGAAGTTAGACCTTACAATCATAATCTACTAGACTGTTTCTGACTTAATTTTATTTTAGTCTGGTTATAACATTTAGTTCTGCTGCATGGGGAAATTTTTGTATTCGTCTTCATTCATAGAGAAGAATAATGGCAAACATCTATAGGAAGGGAGACACAGCATTAAAAAGGGTAATAGCAATCAGAATGTGGAAGTGTGTAGATGTGCAATTTGCATCATTCCAGCTGTATGGATGGAATAGGAAGTGTGACTAGACAAAGTACCAACTAAACACAAAGGACGTTTATGGTGTCAGAAGCAAGGAAGAAAATAATGATGCTTTGCAATGTCTGCTTTTTAAAAAATCCCTTAAAAAGTGTATCTGTTAGAATTAATTTAAATATGCCATTAGTACTATGCTAATATAGACATCAATTTTTATTGGGCCGAGCATTGATGTCTTTGCTCAGTGACCTTATTGATTTTATCACCCGATCTACAGTTTTACAAGAGAGCTCATTAGATTTTTATTGACTCACCAGTTTTCATTCAACATTGCAGAATCAAATCTTATAAGGGTCATTTTGCAAGGTCTTCATAATCAAGGCAGTAATGATTTTTAGCTGGATATACATTTTCCTTTTCCTGTAAAGTTTTAAAATCAAAGATACACTATATGATCCTTCAAAAGGTTGCTGAGATAGGTGCTATTGACCCCATGGAGAGGAGGATTTGAAGCTATCAAAAATTATTTGAACCCTTCCAAAAGTGGTATGTGTTTTCCCTAATCAGTGCCTTGAAGTGAACCTGAATAGAGATCCATTCCAGAAAGAAATACTGAGGGAATACTGTTACCATGTATGCCAGAGAAGTAATTTCATCTGTCCAATGTAGAATAGCATTCAATTATGTGGTTGTAGGTGTACCCACTCTGGCATTTTAAGTGAAATGAGTTATATAAGGTGGTATTTCTATTGTTCTTCGATGTGTTCAATTAGTCCTATATTTAGCATGTCTATCTAAAACAGGGTGTTCTGCTACTACTAAGCATTGGAATTTCCACATGTATTCATTGGCTAGGGCAGATTGCAAGTTCAGTGGATTACACAACATAAGCTTAATTCTGCGATTGTGCGAACTACAAATTTGAAATCCCAGTGTAAACATGGCTGATTTCTTATTGGGTGACCCTCCTGGGGTTATAGATCTCGATCTCCTCCCCCGATTTTCACACGGCCTTCCCACAGGCCTCTACTTTTTACAGCACTGTCAATTACGTTGGATTAGGCTGATCATAATGACAATTTTTTTTTAACTTTATTGCCTAAGTACTTTCCTCAGGTCCTGTCTCCAATAGTCCAACATGCTAGGGGTTGAAATTAAACATAAGGTAGTGATGTTGAGGGGTGTAATTTAGCCTACAGTATCGTCTATGATGAGGTTAAAAAATAAAAAGACTAGGATCTGCCATATAATCTGCTGAAAGCCCCATTACATTATTTCTAGCTTTGTGCTTCAGCAATTAGCTTAATGTCAGTTCTCTTCATGGATTAGTGGCTCCTATTCCAAAAGGTGGTAGAGTGAATTGTTGAATCAATAGGAGTACATACCTAATAGTCATTTATAGTAATTGCTTTATAGTTGTATGATTCTCCATGCCTTCAAGAAAGATTATCCAATTTATTCTGTGAAGAAGAGGGGGATAAGGAATATAGAATGATAATATATTGAATATGTGCATACTTAGCAGATCCCACATCTGCTTTTTGCATTGCAGATATGCAGCTGTCCAAAAGCAACATTTTGATTGTAATGTGAGACATGTAGATAAAGCAGTCTCCTCACCTTTGTAGTAAGAACCCTACTCCCCAGATACATACAGCCTTCTCTATTTTGTCCTATAACAGATCATCTGCAGCATTTTCCAGCTTTGATCATCATTAAGTCCAAATGTGTCCTCAAACAGCTTTCCAATATCTAAATGTGTCTTGAAATATCACTCTGATGTTGTGCATTACTAATTCAGCAATCATATGAAGGAATTACTGCTAATGAAAGAAGCTATTGTGTTCTGACAGTACGTCCCTAGTGTTTAGCAGTTATACTACGCTATAGGTTTCAGAACCACCACATGACAGACTTAAGGCTGTGCACAGCAAGCCTGGGAATCATCTCAAGACTACTATCACATTCCATATAGTCTTGTCCTCTGTTATGCATCTCCTATTTGCCATTAGTCTAGCTAATAACTAGCAAAACTGTTGAATAACTGAAGCAGATCTGCAGTTTTGAATATCATTTAAGAGTCTTAACGGAAGGGGAAAAAGATATCCCTATTAGCTTGTATCCAAACTGGAAAACAATGTATTAGAAGGAGAGAATCTTGACTCCTGTCTCATTTCCGTTCCTGCCTGCCTATGTCACCTTGGACAGGGCCTGCCGTCTCCATTTTAGTTGCTGTGTTTGGAAAACAAGGTCTATTGTGATTGTATTGCCTGACCCTTTGAAACAATCATTCTTCTGTTCATCGAAATCTCAAGACTGAAATTAGCGTCAGGAGAGAGGCAGGCTTCACAATGTGACTTAACAGGATGAGATAGGCTTGAATGTCCCCAGTCACTTGGATAAATCCTCTTGGGCCACTGAGCTTCTCAGAAAGGCTCATAAAGGTTTCTTGGGTCAGAGCCATTCAGAGGCACCCCAAAGTTCATGCTAAAGCTTGCCATCTGCAGGTCAGAGAAATAGTAATAATAACAGGAGGTGGGACACTCTAGTAACCTGCTATGCCTTTGTTCATGGTTCTTTTTTCTGTCTCTCCCCACCCTGTTGTTTTGTCTTGGACATGAACAGCCAACATCAGATGACCTTGTTTCATCTGCTGAATGTTCAAGTGATGATGAAGATTTCGTTGAATGTGAACCGAGTACAGGTAGGTCAGGTCAGTCTTGTTTTGCTTGCTTTTTTTCATTTGCAAAAAAACAATACATATGTATGTGATTTTACATGTGTTTTATATATATATAATGCTATGTTGTATATGTACTTCCTGTATCTATATATGTATGGTCATACATATATAAATATTAATATGGATAATATATAAAAGCATCAAATCCCATGGAAGGATCAGTTGAGATCTGGGGGAAAAGTAAGCTATTCTCTTAGAAGTGAAGGGGAAAAGGTCCATATTCAACTGTACACCTTTGAATATCCTTTAACTGCTGGAACTGGAAGTTGGCAGCAGCCAGTAGCTGCTATGCAACTGATGTGAGGTGGGGCGATGAAGCGGCATAATTTACAATAACATAAAAAAGCACAAACCCAAAGTGGAGCCGTAAAGATTGATAATTAACATTGCAAACCTCATGAGTTGTTCTCAGTTTAAGCTGCAAAAAAAAAAAAAATTTTCCATGGGATTTCAACAGCAGTTGACATGGTATTCTATTTATACTAATTTTGTTTATTGTGTGTCTGGAGAATGTGTGCAGCAATACAGTATAGTAAATACAAAATTAGTACTGAACTATGCCTTGTTGACTGCTGGGATGCTGCAAAATGTATCTCATGTGATGAAGCAGAAAGACTGGCCATTAAAAGCTTCAGTGTGTTCCCCATTTGGATTCAGATACATTTTGTTGTCTTACGGTCTCTCTGTATAGTGAGCTATATATAATGTCCAGCAGGCAACCGCAGTCCCTAATTATTTTCTATCAGTGTTCCCAAGTCTGTTTTGAGACTTATTATAAGTTAAATTTTATATGTGTGTAATAGAGAACAGATATCATGGAATTTCTGTGTATGTTTAATGCAATTAAAAGCTAGAGTTGGCTTAGGACCCTATTTATACAGCAGGTAGAGTATTTTGTTGTCTGGGTTAATTTTTTTTTCTTTCAGAGAAAGTGAGTCAGTAAGCCTTTTCTTTTGCTAATTCATAAATTTAGGCTTTCTGGAAAAAAATACCAAAACTAAAAGCCGCCTATCTCTTACTGCAAAATGATTGCCTTTTGTTGAAACCTGGACTGCTTGGTTTCTTGTGTCTTTGGATTCAGGAAGTTCTGTGAATTCCTATCCCCTAGCAATGCACAGGGATATGCTACTACTAATCCGTTGAATTTTGTCATTTTGGAGAATGATGTGTCCCTTAGAAATCTCAGATATAAACAAGTAAAATAAATGTGGCCTGGTTAAATTGTCTCTGACACTAATCAGTTAGTCCTAAGTGATATAACCATGAGCAAAAGCAGACACAACCCAATCTGCAGCAACAAGTTTTCATTCAAACATTGATTCACCAATCCATTCAATAAGTATTTCTGAAAGTCAGGATATAACTTCTCTGTAGATTTAATTCCTTCATACTCAATTCCTAGAAGCAAGCTGTTGGAAAAACAGAGGCAAAAGTTTATCTAAACTACCTCTCCAATATCAGTAACTGCAGTGAATCATTTTGAGGCGTGTGGGTACTAGCCATGTAAGTGTTAAGGACTCATGTGAACATGAAATGATCCCCAGCAAACACACAAACTATTTTCCATGAAATCAAAATATCTAGCCTGTCTTCTTCCTTGCTTAGCCTTTTCTGGGGCTGAGGGGGGCGTGTTTCTGTTATTGTTAGTGTTGATGCCTGTGAAAATGCTTATGGAAAAGTACAATTGAAACCTGAAATGGTGGGGTTATCTAGTTATATAGAAGCTTTTGATGGAAAAACCATCGTGCCCTGATTACTGGATGCCCACCAAGAGCATTTTTTCTGATTCAAAACTCTTATGCCTCTCTAGAGGTTTGTGGGGTTTCAGTAGAAACATCCTTTTAAACTTGAACAGGCCCAAAGCTAGTGGTGCTAAAGCAACCCTGTTAGCGTTTCAATTGCTGCACTGGTGTTTTGTCTGACTCAAAAGCAGAGAGTAGAACATGACAAGAACGCTGCTTGAGCAACACAGCAACACGGGGCAAGTGATGATCTGTTGTGTTGTAGAGGAGAACTTGGGAAGAGAGATTTAGAAAGAGGATGAAGGCCATGATATTCCATTTCTGCTGACTGATTGGCATGTAACAGAAAAATATCACCAAGAAGCTAAAGCTTTGTATGTGGGGGGAGGGGATGGAGGTAATAGGTACGTTCATCTTGCCACAAACAATTCAGAACTCCATGTGTCACAGGCATATTCAAAACAAACAAAACCAGGGAACATGTACTTGTGAGGCACGGAGAACAGTGGTTTGAACCAGATGTCTGAGTTACTCAGATGGTTGTTACCTGCTATCCAGGCCTGTCTGGCTCCACATGGAACTGTGGCTTTGGCCTTCAGTTTCCAGAAGCAATACAAAGGTTAGTTTCGCACCACCTATAGAGAAGGCTTTCCACTTCTCATGCAGCAATATGGTCGTAAACCTTGAACTTGAACACAAATTGTCAGTCCTAGAGTTGTATGTAAATGCTGAGAATCAAACTGTGGTCTTGAATACCTTGCATTTCCACAATTGATCTTTTTGGAAATATCTATGTGCAGTTAGTGAGGCCTCCTGTCATGCTTGTCTCCTCTTTGTTGCTTTTTGAACCTGTTTCCATTACTAGGCATATCAAAGCTATAGGTAACTTACTCAGTAAGTTATAAAATGTAAGGACTTCAAATGGATCTAAATTCGAACATCACCTGCTAGAATTCATCAGTGTTTTAGTCTTCATATACACATCAATTGAAAAGCACATTTTTTTTTACTTCAACTCTACTGGTTTTGAGTCAGACATGAGAAATAGCTTTTCACTCCCAGAGTTCTCTTTAGTACTTATGGGTCACCATGGGTTGCTGTTCTGGAATAATCATATATACAAATTAAGGCACAAATTAATTCATTTTGATGGACATACAGAAGCCTGTTCACACACAGTTATTTGGGAAATTCAAAGAGTACCATCACTTTATATATTTTCTAGAAAATATATAAATGTTTTTAAAATCCTAAGTTGTGAGTGAAGCTCCATTAGGACTTGATTGAATGAATGAGTTATTTCTTATCTACAGCTTTTTTCTATGAGGACTAAAATAAAACTTCTAGAGTTATTTATAATCTATTTCATAAGCATAAATATTTCCCTAACCAAATGTATACTTTAATATAAACAATTCTGATTTTTCCATATTTCTCTATTTCTGGGAAGTATTTCTTTCATGAATCAGATAATATTGTGTTTTCTGAATGTTTATGATTTTATGAACTTCCTAGAGATGTTCTTGTAAATATTTGCTTTATGAAATGTGATTGTTTCCCACGAAAAAAATCAGAATTGTTCTTATAGAAATTCTAACCCTTAACTATACTTTCATTTATATTAAAAAGCCATATTTCATTTTCCTTTTTATCTCTTTGGACCCCACAATCACTAGAAGCACAAATAATCACTGGGTATTGCAATCCCTCGAGACATTATGAAGCCACATGATAGTTAATAACTTTAGTCTGTTCACATTTGTGTCCTAACATGTCAGCATGAAGTGTGAAATGAGGCAGAAGAGGTAAAAATGCATTTCATTTCTTACCTCTGTCCTCTGTTGTTGTAGTCTAAAGATTCTGTAAGTGTTTTGCCCAGGGCTAATTACTGCACGGAGACAGAGTAAAAACACAGCAGCTTTTACACCTCAAAAATGGCATGGTGATACTTAACAACCATATTGCCTCATCCAGTTGTTCTCCAGGGATATCTGTTTGGGATTGTCAATTAGGCCTGGTTTTCTGCCTTTATTTTTGATAAATATCCTTTGATCAAATCTCAAAGGACAGTGCTTCCACCAGAGGGCAGACAGGGAAGAGGAAATATATCTGTTTGTCAATAATGCTGTGCCTTCATAATGGTCAGATTGTTTAAGCTAATGGCAGCAACATGAGGTCACAAAATAATTACTAGGTCCAGAATGGTTCTAGGATGCATCTTTGTTTCACATATTTGCATTTGGTGCTCTTGTTACTATATTCTTCCATCTTAGCCCCAAAAGCAAATCGGGTGAAATTTTAATTTAGCAGAATTGTCAAGAACCTGTTGTTGCATCTTACACATAGAAGAAGGCTCTTAATCGTTATCAGGTTAAGATGTCTCATAAAGTGTTTCTACCAGGGAAATCTGGCCCCGAGTTGTTACATCATTTCAGTTCTCATTTGTAAAGACATGACATAAAGCACAGCTAAAATGTTAAAGACAAATGTTAAGTTTCAAAAATAGGATACAGAGAAATAAAACTTTCCTTACCAGAGTCCACAGAGGACAAAAAAACAAAAGTAGGTCTCATCATCACTCTTCTCAATGACTTTCATGTTGACTGTATTGATAGAATTGGTTCTTAGCATCTCCACTCCTCTGTGGAAACAGTAACATGTATGTTTTCAATACAAAGGAATTTTCCTTTTTTTATCCCATTTTGTCTATATGGAATCTTATGGAGAGATAAAAATTGTTTGCATTTTGTCAGTCAAATGGCTCTTCCGTAAGGCCTGCCATTAGGAATGCCTGAGCATCATCATGCACAGGATCGCATCTGCAACTTTTTTGAAGTTGTCCATTTAAAACCAATTTCAACAAAGTGCTAATGATGTAATCTATGACACGTATCATAGCTGTGACAAAGAGGTGAAATTATGTGAAATTATTTACATATTACTGTCTCAAAATTTTAGTCATTATGAGTAATATCACATGTTTATCAGACCACAAAATCCAACAATTGTGTACTTAGATCTAAATTACATTTTGTAAATGTTTCTTAATCTGGAAATGAATGGAACATGTGTGTGGGAGCATAATGTTCCCAATGTAGCAGTAATATGCCTTCAATAGCCCAAGGAGTGAGCGGACTGATAGCCCTTTTCTATAACCCACCTCACTGCCAAGCTACTTTTTGATACTAGAAAAACTATATTCCTTTGAAAGCATTCACA